CAGTTAGTGACCTTATTTTTTCACATCAATGTTCTCTACAATAATACAGTTCAATGGAAGAATTAATAGACCATTAGATTTTTTTTTAACTGGGATTTTGGCCTGGACAGAGGCCACAGTTCTGCTCTAGAGACAAGAGAACAGGAAATCCCAGAGCTGCCCAGTTTTCCCTCTCCAGCAGGGCCAGCCTCCGCTGCTCCCCTGAATGACAATCAGCTGTGGAGCTAGGCATAGCCTAACACCCCTAAATAGCCACCCAGCCACAGCCTCTGGGCATAGCTTAACACCCCTAAACAGTCGCCCAGTCATCTCTTCTGCCTTACTCTTACACAAATTCTTAGACAATCATTCTTTCCAAAGTCCATTACAAAATCCAATTCATTCTGTTTAACATGATGGCTCAATATCAAACCTTTGACATAAAAAAGCATTGATAAAATATAACCTAAGAGGGACGTAACCTAAACAGAAGCTTGTTATGGTAGGCAAAGGAGGCAGCAAGAAATCTACATGATGAAAAGAAAGCTGACATTAGACAAAAGAAAAACACTGAAATGGAGCACAGGCTTAGAGTAATTCTCAAAAAGTACATAGATAACACCTTTAGTAGCTTATCGGAGAAAAATCAATAACATTCACCTTAAAAATGTAGGCAAAATATAGTGCTCTAGGGCTCTTTCATTCTTTCTCTCTTCTTTTTTTTTTTTTTTTTTTTTTGAGACAGGATCAAAGACAGGAACAAGACCTGTTCTGTTCTGGTCTTGTTCTGTTGCCCAGGCTACACTGCAGACCTGTCATCATAGCTCACTGCAACCTCAACCAATTCTTGCCTCAAGCAATCCTCCCATCTCAGTCTCCCAAAGTTCCAGGATTACAGATGTGCCACAGCTTCCAGCCTAGGGCTTTTTCTAAACACACACAAATTAATTCTTCCCTCCCTAAAGAGATTATTGTTATAAGATTTTAACAATGTAGTGAACCACAATTTTTTTTTTCTGAGACAATGCAGTGTCATCATTATAGCTCACTGTAACCTCAAACTCCTGGGCTCAAGTGATCCTCCTGCCCCTTCCCAAGTAGCTGGTACTACAGGTGTGCATGATGCCCAGCTAATTTTTCTGTTTTTAGTAGAGATGGGGTCTTGCTCTTACTCAGGCTGGTCTCCAACTCTGAGCTCAAACGTCCTCCTGCCTCAGCCTCCCAGAGTGCTAGGATTACAGGCATGAGCCACCGCACCTAGCCAACCACAAATGTTTTGTTTAATTTGTTTCATTTCTATTTTGTTCCTGTTGCTTTATTTCGTTTGCTCATTACAACTTTTCTACTGCTAAAAAAAAAAGCTTCAAAAGGTTTTAAAAACATAGTATGTATTTCCTTGTAAAAATAACTGTGATTGTGAGGCCACCTAGTGTTCCAAGGAATACCTATATTTCAAATTCCTCATCATTTAAGTCAAATTAAAAGACTAAATTACCTTTTTTTGTTGAAAGAAAACTGATTATCTTCAATCAGTAATATGATGATACATCATCAGTATATAAAACAGTCAACTGATAATAGTACTTTTTATTATTACATATAAGAATAAAATATTTACAATAAAAATTATCACTGGCCGGGCGCGGTGGCTCACGCCTGTAATCCTAGCACTCTGGGAGGCCGAGGCGGGCGGATTGCTCGAGGTCAGGAGTTCGAAACCAGCCTGAGCAAGAGCGAGACCCCGTCTCTACTATAAATAGAAAGAAATTAATTGGCCAACTAATATATACAAAAAATTAGCCTGGCATGGTGGCGCATGCCTGTAGTCCCAGCTACTTGGGAGGCTGAGGCAGGAGGATTGCTTGAGCCAGGAGTTTGAGGTTGCTGTGAGCTAGGCTGACGCCACGGCACTCACTCTAGCCTGGGCAACAAAGCGAGACTCTGTCTCAAAAAAAAAAATAAAATAAAAATTATCACTAAGAAAAAGTAAATTGCTTGATATTTATGACATGACAATAACTCAAAATAGGTAAAAATGTTAATGGATCATCTAACTCTCAGTGAGGGCATCATTAATCCACATACACAATAATATATTAATAATGACTTGTTTTAAGCTTCTAGATCAGGGTTTCTCAAGGTCAGCCCTACTGACATTTGAACCTGATAATCCTCTGTTGTGGGGGCTGTGCTGTGCCCTGTAGGGTACTTAGCACCATCCCTAGCTTCCACTTCTAGATTCTAATAGCACACAGCCCCTCTCTCTCCCATTTGACAACCAAAGTCTCCTCCAGACATGTCCAAATGCCCTCCGGTAGAGGGAGGGAAAAACTGCCCCCCCCCCTTGGAGAACCACTAAGCTAGAGGAACAAATGGAAATAGGGGCTAGGTTGAATTGGTCCACAAAGGCTTCATAAAATATAGAATTTTTTTTTTTTGAGACAGAGTCTCACTTTGTTGTCCAGACTACAGTGAGTGCCGTGGCATCAGCCTAGCTCACAATAACCTCAAACTCCTGGTCTCAAGCAATCCTCCTGCCTCAGCCTCCCAAGTAGCTGGGACTACAGGCATGTGCCACCATGCCCGGCTAATTTTTTCTATATATATTAGTTGGCCAATTCATTTCTTTCTATTTATAGTAGAGATGGGGTCTCGCTCTTGCTCAGGCTGGTCTCGAACTCCTGAACTCAAACGATCCGCCTGCCTCGGCCTCCCAGAGAGCTAGGATTACAGGCATGAGCCACCACGCCGGGCCCAAAATGTAGGATTTTAAAGTGGATTATAAATTCATTTGAGAAAGCTTCAGCTAAGTACGGTACATTCAGCTAAGTACGGTGGGATTCCAGAACAACGTGGTCCCACCTCCCCTACCCACACCCAATCCCAGGAGGTGGGGATGGGAGAGGGCGGCAAGAACTCAGATCCAACAAATTGGTGACATTAGGAATAGACAGTATTGCTAAACTTTTCATTCCTTTCTAAGTCAGACAACCAGATTTTTATGTATAATTCGAGATATGTATTGGGAAGTAATCCAAATATTAAAAATAATTCTGCAAGTCAAACAAAAGAAAACATTTGGCCCCTAGACCACAGTTTTGTCACCTTCTGCCCGTATCAAGAGTTGACACAAGGCAGGTTGGCTCTGAGTATGAGGATCTTGAAGATGTGCCCAACTATATGCCCACGAGGGAGAGTTGTTGCCAGTGGGCCTGCTGGAGAAGGCCAAACTATGAGTGTTACCTAACCACAGAGCACGGCCATAGTAAACAGCTCCAAGGTCCCTGCAGGCCTCTGGAACATGAAAGGGGAGTGTGGAAAGAACTGGGAAAACGAGGTGTCCACTTGGAAGGAAGAACAGGCCAAAAGTTCATAATGAAAAAAGCCTCACAAAGATCTGACCTTCCTGCTTTCCAAGAAGACTAAAAGAAATCTTAGGTAGAAAGGGCTTAGGACTAAAAGGCAGCTTCTATTAATAAGTGAGTGATTGGTGTTTGGGTACCCAAAACTAAAGGAAAAATCGCTTATAACGTTAAGTCATGCAATGCAGTGAAGATAAGTTCCTAACAGGCTCTGGCAAACCCTTTCACAGAAATACTCCCTTATCTCCTGAGATGGGCCAGACCAGAAGCTGTTACATCTCCTGCCCAAGCGTGGGGCAAAGAACATCATGGGGAAAATAATCTTAGCCAACAAAGTAAGAAGGTTGACTTTCCTCTAACTAGTCAAGATCAGACTATAACCTCAAAAACTACCTTTTTTTTCCTTCGGCACAGAGTCTCCCTCCCTCGCCCCAGGTAGAGTACAGTGTCTTAACTCACTACGACCTCAAACTCCTGGACTCAACCGATCCTCCTGTCTCAGCCTCCCAAGCAGCTGGGACTATAGGCAGGTGCCACCATGCCCAGCTAAGTTTTTCTATTTTGGGTAGAGACGTGGTCTCCCTCTTGCTCAGGCTGGTCTTGAACTCCTGACCTCAATCAATCCTCCCGCTTCAGACTCCCAAAGTGTTAGGACTAGCACCCACCAAAAATGACTTTCTAAAAAGAACCAGTTTGGCTGCTTCTCAGACAGATTTTTTCTTTTTTCTTTTGAGACAGAGTCTCACTTTGTTGACCAGGCTAGAGTGAGTGCCATGGCGTCAGCCTAACTCACAGCAACCTCAAACTCCTGGGTTCAAGTGATCCTCCTGCCTCAGCCTCCCGAGTAGCTGGGACTACAGGCATGTACCACCATGCCCGGCTAATTTTTTGTATATATATTTTTTAGTTGACCAATTAATTTCTTTCTATATTTAGTAGAGACAGGATCTCGCTCAGGCTGGTTTTGAACTCCTGACCTCGAGCAATCTCCCTGCCTCGGCCTCCCAGAGTGCTAGGATTATAGGCGTGAGCCACCGTGCCTGTGCCCGGCCTTCTAAGACAGATTGATTGGTTGATTTATTATTTTCTAACAATGGAAAATGCACAGGGAGAACCACAGCCAGGATGTGTCTTGGAGAAGGGTAAAAGTTTGCAATTCCTTTTAGCAACTCATAAGCTCTTGTAATGAAGGAAAATACACTGTTGAGCCTCTGCCACCAATCTTGGAACACTTGGGCAACTCACTTTGCTTCTGGAAAAAGTTTCATAAAGTGCAAAATGGAGGGGAGGGGTGGCTGACTGGCTAAGGAATCCTGCCATCCACTCCTTCAAGGTCAAGGATTTTTTTCTTTTTTTTTTTTTTTTTTGAGACAAGAGTCTCACTCTGGTCCCCGGGCTAGAGTGCCGTGGCATTGGCCTAGCTCACAGCAACCTCAAACTCCTGGGTTCAAGCGATCCTGCTGCCTCAGCCTCCCAAGTAGCTGGGACTACAGGCATGCACCACCATGTCCAGCTAATTTTTTCTATATATTTTTACTTGTCCAGCTAATTTCTTTCTATTTTTTTCTTTTTTAGTAGAGACGAGGTCTTGCTCTTGCTCAGGCTGGTCTCGAACTCCTGACCTCGAGCAATCCGTCTGCCTCGGCCTCCCAGAGTGCTAGGATTACAGGCGTGAGCCACCTTGCCCAGCCATAAGGTCAATAATTTATAGGGTGCCAAGAGCCACCTTTGGGGAAATTAATAAGGACAGCAAACTGCACGGTACAGGGGTAACAGGGGCCTTCTGCACAGTGGATCCAGTATCTGAAGATACAGTTGTAACCAGAGTAGCATACAAATTTGTTTTTAGAGCCTTACACATTCTTTTAATCTTTTTGGCAACCTCAGGAAATAAGACAGTTGTCATTACCCTCACTGCACAGAGAGGAAAGTAAGGCTGGCTGAATTTTCCAAGGCCATACAAGCAGTCTTTATCCCTTAACCTTGTCAATCGGAAGAGAGGGGAGCCATTTCCCTTTTATCCAGTGACCCTCCTCCATGCTAGGCCAGCCTGACACCCCTTCTTCCAGAAGATTCTTCATGCAAGTGGCATAATATAACAGGGGACCACACATCCCGGCTCCAAACCCCATTGTCCAAATCCCAAACCGCCTAATCCTAACCAACAAGCAACTATACTTACTCATAGGCCTCCTCCCCTGTCAGGATTTTTGCTGGTGCCATGACCACAGCTGTTGGCTGCCAGATCTGGACTCTGCCACACACTAGTTGCAATACAACCAGTAGCCTGCCTGGGTGGCTTCTTTAAGACTTAGCAGAAGGTCCCACCTCTCCAGAACTCCCACCTACTTTCCTGCAGTATAAGCCAGCCAGAATCTTCAACGTTCAGATATTCAACTTCTGACCAATCAGCACCTTGGAGCACACTACAGGCAAATATTTTTAAGTACAAAAAGGCCTGCAGGTATTTCATCTACAGAACAAAGTACAAGGCTCACCAATGTTAATCCAGCAAACAAGAAGACCTGTCCTCAACTGCGGTGAGTAAATCCTTTTTACAGAAATAGTTCTAGCCCAGTAGCTAAATGTATAGGTTTTATCTTTATCTTTGATCTGTAGAATAAATTCTAATGTTAAGGCTCAAGATTATAAGCCACCTCCCAAAGATACAGCCTGGATAAACACAAAAATCGCCTGTTTATTCAACAAATACTTTCTAAGTACCTACTTATTAAACTTACTATGTGCCAGAAATTGCTCTAAATGCTTTACAAGTAATAACTCATTTAAGACTAACAAACTGGCTGGTTGTGGTGGCTCACACCTATAATCCTAGCACTATGGGAGGCCGAGGCGGGAGGATCGAGCTCAGGCGTTCAAGACCAGACTGAGCAAGAGTGAGATCCTGTCTCTACAAAAAACAGAAAAATTAACCAGGTATCATGGCGTGTGCTTGGAGTCCCAGCTACTCAAGAGGTTGAGGCAGGAGGATCACTTGAGCCCAGGAGTTTGAGGTTGCTGTGAGCTAGGCTAATGTCACGGCTCTCTAGCTCAGGTGACAGAGTAAGACTATCTCAAAAAAAAAAAAAAAAAAAATAACAAACTCTGAGTTAGTTAGGTGTCATAACTACCCCAACAGACAGACTAGGAAGCTAAGGCACAAAGCGGCGCGGTGGCTCACGGCTGTAATCCTAGCACTCTGGGAGGCCGAGGTGGGTGGATTGCTCAAGGTCAGGAGTTGGAAACCACCCTGTCTCTACTAAAAATAGAAAGAAATTAATTGACCAACTAAAAATACATATACAAAAAATTAGCCGGGCATGGTGGCGCATGCCTGTAGTCCCAGCTACTCGGGAGGCTGAGGCAGGAGGATTGCTTGAGCCCAGGAGTTTGAGGTTGCTGTGAGCTAGGCTGACGCCACGGCACTCACTCTAGCCTGGGCAACAGAGTGAGACTCTGTCTCAAAAAAAACACAACAAAGAGTTAAACTAAATTACCCAGTGATCCACAGAGGAGGCAGTGTGTTTAGGCTCTGGGGCTATCATCCACAGGGTGTTCACATACACATCCAATTTGCCTCGCACTCAGCCAACAAAAACTCGGAGCACCTACTCTTACTGTCCTACAAAGTTGCAAACCATCTGCCTCGTCACAATCAGTCTTTTTAGAAAGGACACTTAATCAAGAAAAATGCTGGCAGCGCGGTACAGTGGCTTATGCCAGGAATTCTAGCACTCTGGGAAGCCAAGGCAGGAGGATTGCTTGAGACCAGGAGTTCGAGACCTGCCTGAGCAACATTGCCAGACCTGGTCTCTACAAAAAATTAAAGAATTAGCCAGGCATGGTGCTGCACCTGTAGTCCCAGCTATTCAGGAGGCTGAGGTAGGAGGATTGCTTGAGTCCAGGAGTCTGAGGTTGCAGTGAGCTATGATGCCACTGCACTATAGCCTGGGTGACTGAGTAAGACTCAAAAAAAAAAAAAAAAAAAAAAAATCCTAAAGAAAGAAAAGAAAAATGCCCCCAATGGAGCAGATTTAACTACAGCAAACTAACTGAGGGAAAGCCAAACAAATCACACAAAATTTATGTGGTACACCCACTTCCAAAGCCACCCATATAGAAGAATATGCTTTCTTATCTACAAACCAAAGCCAGGCAGTTCTTCCAACACTGCCTAAAGCATATCCCTTTCCCCTTTGTATAATCTTTTAAAGGACATCACCTTTATGCCCAGGGCAGGCTTTCACCACCACTCTCTGGTTCTTCTACTCAGTAGCCTCCACTCAAGGTCACTTTCCACAGGGCCAAAGCTATCGACCCTCAAGGTAGTCCTTTACTAACTGGTGAGATCAAAGGTCCAAGGCCCAGGTTGAATTTGGGGTCTGGAGCCCTCATCCCCAAAATAATGGTGGGGACTTTTACAAAGAATATGACCTTAACTCCCATATTTAAAGTTAGAACCTTCATGCCACAGAAATTCCTGTTCCTTTTCCCTGCTCTGTTTTTTTTCCCGTTCATACTTCTCACCTCACATTCTCATTTCACCTGTTGTATCATCTGTCTCTACCCGTCAGTATGCAAACTCCACCAAAGTAGGAATTTGGGCTGTTTGGGTCACGGTTAGAGTCTCAGGGCTGTGAAGATTGCCTGGCATAGGCTGGGTGCGGTGGCTGACGCCTGTAATCCTAGCACTCTGGGAGGACAAGGCGGGCGGATTGCTCAAGGTCAGGAGTTCGAAACCAGCTTGAGCAAGAGCAAGACTCCATCTCTACTATAAATAGAAAGAAATTAATTGGCCAACTAATATATATAGAAAAAATTAGCCAGGCATGGTGGCGCATGCCTGTAGTCCCAGCTACTTGGGAGGCTGAGGCAGCAGGATTGCTTGAGCCCAGGAGTTTGAGGTTGCTATGAGCTAGGCTGACGCCACGGCACTCACTCTAGCCTGGGCAACAGAGTGAGACTCTGTCTCAAAAAAAAAAAAAAAAAAAAATTCCTTTTAGCAATTAGTATCTCTTAGAGTGAAAAACACCAAGTACTGGGTGAAGACCTTGGTTCTAGTTGAGCCTCTGCCATTAACCATCCTAGTAACCCTTGGATGAATCACATCACTTTTTGGCCTCAACTATTTCCTTATCTGCAGGATGGGATGTGGGGAGTGGACTGGATTTTAGAGAAATTCTGGCTGTGTAACTCATGACCTGCCCTACCTTTCCTCTCTCCAGTGAAGAAATTTACAATTAATTTTTTTTCCTTTTTATTATTTTAAAATTGATTTTAAAAATACTTTTTTCTAGGCTGGTCCAAAGGTAGTGAGTTATCTCATGTGATTGTTCACAGTCAGTTACAGATTGAACTTCTCATTCTACTACTTTCCCCCCTCCTCACTACTGCACTTGACTAGTCTTAAAAAATAAAATACTTTTTTCTAGGTTGGTCTGAAGGTAGTGAGTTATCTCATGTGATTGTTCACAGTCAGTTACAGATTGAAATCCTTGTTCTACTACTTTCCCCCCTCCTCACTACTGCACTTGACTAGTCTTAAAAAATAAAATACTTTTTTCTCTTTTTTCCTCAGTGGTATCTAGGCTGAAGAAATTTACAATTCAAACACTATATTTTGGAAACGTGATTAATCAAGAGAAAGAAACTGCCTGGGGCACTTGAAGTCTTGCAAATTTGTCCCTAGAGATACCTAACAGTTCATACTAGCTTCAGCAGCACATATACTAAAATTGGAATGTTACACAAAAGATTAGCAAAATTAAAAAATTCTTAAAAAAGAAAAAAAAGGCCAGGCTCTGTGGCTCACACCTGTAATCCTAGCACTCTGGGAGGCAGAGGTGGGAGGATCGCTCAAGGTCAGGAGTTCAAGACCAGCCTGAGCAAGAGTGAGACTCTGTCTCTAGTAAAATAGAAAGAAATTAGCTTGACAACTAAAAATATATAGAAAAAATTAGCAACAAAGGGTCTTACAGGCGTGAGCCACCACACCTGTAATCCTTGCACTCTGAGAGGCTGAGGTGGGCAGATTGTTTGAGCTCAGGAGTTCAAGATCAGCCTGAGCACATCGAGACCCCATCTCTACCAAAAATAAAAAGAAATTAATCGACAAACTAAAAATATATATACAAAAAATTAGCCGGGCATGGTAGCACATGCCTGTAGTCCCAGCTACTCGGGAGGCTGAGGCAGAAGGATCGCTTGAACCCAGGAGTTTGAGGTTGCTGTGAGCTAGGCTAATGCCACGGCACTCACTCTAGCCTGGGCAACAGAGTGAGACTCTGTCTCAAAAAAGAAAAAAAAGAGAGACAGACCCAACAGTTGGTGGCAACCAAGGTAGCTGATCTGCACACCTTACTTTTCCCCAGGTTCCAGGAACCCTGGATACAATGAAGAACCTGGAAACTCGCTTAGCTTCCGTCTCAAGAATGTCCTTGGCCTAACAAAAGAGGAAAAGTAAGAACATCCTGTCCAGTCCCTCCACCTGCAGCCCAACCTGCTAAAGCTGTAAAAACCACCTTCTTGATCAAGATTTCTCCAGGGCCATTGGTCAGCTGCCCACTGCAGTCTCAGCACACAGGAGCTGGTAGGACTGTCTACCCCATGAGCCAGGTAGGCCATCTCCCCTCCCAGGGAGACGTATGTATACTTTGGAGATGTATATCTTGGAGTCAAGCTCCCCAGAAAGGTCAAGTCCAAGATGCAGCTATCTCTGAAAGAGCAACTTTATGAGCACATTAAAGAAAAATATTCTGTAGGCATAGGGGCCTTAGTCTTAATGCTTCCTTTATGAATTGCACTGGTAGTGGGAAGTAAAAATAAAATCCCAAGTCCCCGAGTTGACTGAACAGCTCAACCTGAAATCTGGTCCATGACACGACAGGAGGTCAGACTCAATTTGTTATACCCCATCAAACTTTCTCAAGGATTAAACAGAACTAGCCTTTTTTTTTTCAGAGTCTCACTCTGTTGCCCAGGCTACAGTGTCAGGGCATCAGCCTAGCTCACAGCAACCTCAAACTCCTGGGCTCAAGCAATCCTCCTGCCTCAGCCTCCCAAGTAGCTGGGACTACAGGCATGCGCCACCATGCCTAGCTAATTTTTTCTATTTTTGGTAGAGATGGGGTCTTGCTGTGCTCAGGCTGATCTTGAACTCCTGAGCTCCAACAATCTGCCCGCCTCTGCCTCTCAGGGTGCAAGGATTACAGGCGTGAGCCACCACACCCAACCTTTTTTTTTTTTTTTTTTTTTTTACTATTTTTCGTAGAGACAGGATCTTGCTCTTGCTCAGGCTGACCTCAAACTCCTGAGCTCAGGCCATCCTCCCTCCTTGGTCTCCCAGTGTGCTAATATTACAGGCGTGACCCACCATGTCCAGCCAGAACTAGCCTTTTGAAATAATTTCCTCCACCACTGCTTATAATCAACAATGCTCTTCCTGTGCTTTTGGCACAACTGATCAACATTCCTTCCTGGTAAGGGATCACTGACCCTGGAGTGGTTCTGACCTGTCTACAGTGAATGCTCAGGGACGGGTTTTCGTTTCCTCTGCTTCACCTTTTGACATCAAATGCCAAAACCTCCACTCTTGGATCATACTAACACTGCCATTTTTTGTACACGTGACCGATGTAGGGTCATGAAGCTCAACTGCAAATGTACATGTTTCTCCTTTTGTAAATACTCATAACACCTCCTACAGCTCATTAAATATGAATATTTGGCCATTTGGCTCAGCATAAATTATCATTACTAATATCATTAATTTCATTATTATCATTAATAATGTCCCCCAAGTCCCCCTCTCCAACTGCATGCTCTCAGCTTCTGCCTGAGGCTATGCTTCCCAGTCGGTCAGAATGGCCACCCTGCAGGCTGAAACCCTTTATGAGAAATAAAGCTCTGGCTTCCAAATTTATGAACCTTGACATTCTTCAGTTGACAGGAGAAACTGGCTGTTCACCAACATGACAATGTAGAAGGTTAGCTATGTTAACTCTGAGCAGGCTGAAGAAAGAGACCCTTCCAGTACCTGCAATAATATTTTCCAGAAAATGCTTTCAATGCTTGTAGCTAAATCTTAACACACTAACCACACCTCACTTTTTTTAAGGCTAGTCAAGTGAAGCAGTGGGAGTGGAGAAGGAACAAAGGAATCTGTAATTGGTAGTGATCAGTTAGTTGTAAACAAGATGCCCTATCCTTTAATGATAAAAATTGGATTTAGGCTCCTAGCACTCTGGGAGGCCAAGGTGGGAGGATCGCTCAAGGTCAGGAGTTCAAAACCAGCCTGAGCAAGAGTCAAACCCCCATCTCTACTAAGAATAGAAAGAAATTAGCTGGACAACTAAAAATATATACAAAAAATTAGCAGGGCATGAGTGCATGCCTGTAGTCCCAGCTAATCAGGAGGCTAAGGAAGGATTGTTTGAGCCCAGGAGTTTGAGGTTGCTGTGAGCCAGACTGATTCCAGGGCACTCTAGCCCAGGCACACAGCAAGACTCTGTCTCAAAAAAAAAAAAAAAAAATTGGATTTAGATTTAATAAGTGGTCTCAACCTTCAAGATGAATTAGAAGCCGGGTACAGTGGCTCACACCTGTAATCCTAGCACTCTGGGACGCCAAGGTGGGAGGATCACTTGAGGTCAGGAATTCAAGACCAGCCTGAGCAAGAGCGAGATCCCATCTCTACTAAAAATAGAAAAAATTAGCCCGGAGTGGTGGTACACGCCTGTAATCTCAGCTACTTGGGAGGCTGAGGCAGGAGAATGGCTTGAGCCCAGGACTTTGAGGATGCTGTGAGCTAAGCTGATGCCACAGCACTCTAGCTCAGGTGACAGAGCAAGACTCTGTCTCAAAAAAAATTAAAAAAAAAAATTGAGTCAGTGGCTTGTTATTAATAATTCCAATTAAATCAATATGGGCAGCAAGCATTGGTATTTTTCAAAAGCTCCCTATGGGTGTAAATTGGTAAAACCATCTTTGAAAGATTGGCAACATCTATCAAAATTGATCATATGCATGTCTTATTTTTAGGTATATACCCAACAGAAATGTGTATTTTATATATATGATTCACCAAAACACCTGTAAGAGACTGCTTATAGTAGCACTATTCACAATTGCTCAAAACTGGAAACTCAAATGTCCATGGATAAATAGTGGCGTACAGTAGAATAAAACACAGCAATGAAAATAAATGAACTATAACTATATGCAAAACAGATTAATCTCAGAAACACAATGTTGATTAAAAGAAGCCAGATACAGACTTATACTTTATGATGCCATTATATGAAGTCCAAAACAGGCAAAACTAGTCTAGTGTTAAAAGTCAGAATAGTGATTACCTTTGTGGGTGTGGTGACTGGATGTGGGTGAGAAGGGGGCTTCTGGGGTACCACTAATGCCATTTCCTTTTCTTTCTTTTCTTTTTTTTTTTTTTTGAGACAGAGTCTTGCTCTGTTGCCTAGGGCTAGAATACAGAGGCATCATCATAACTCATTGAACCTCAAACTCCTGACCTTAAGTGATCCTCCTGCCTTAGCTTCCAGATCCCAGAGTGCTAAGATTCTAGGATTATAGGCATGAGCCACTGAACCCCATCAAATTCCATTTCTTGACCTGGGTACTGGATACACAGGTATGTTTAGTTGTGAAAAGTTCATTGAGATGTGTAGTCACCATAGGTGCAGTTTTTTGTACAAATTCATATTTAGATAAAAAAAAAACAAATTCCTCAAGTGATTTTAAGGTGCAACTGATGTTGAGTACCATTGAAATAGATCTCAAGGCAGCTATCCCAGTCAAAAAGATAATGAATCAATCATTCCTGTATACATTAGCTAATGACTAATCATAATAAGATACAGTCTGAACATGTATTATGTACCAGGAACAATTCTAAATGCTCCCCTGTTAGGAACTCATTTAATTCTCCAAACAACCCAAAGGCCTAAACATTTTCTGTTTTTTTTTTTTGATACAAGAGTCTCTACTTGTGCCAGGCATTACTGAGTGAGTGCCATGATGTCAGCCTAGCTAACAGCAACCTCAAACTCCTGGGCTCAAGCAATCCTGCTGCCTTTCGCCTCCAAGTAGCTGGACTACCAGCATGTGCCACCATGCCCAGCTAATTTTTTCTATTATATTAGTTGGCCAATTAATTTCTTCTATTTATAGTAAGAGACAGGGTCTTGCTCTTGCTCAGGCTGGTTTCAAACTCCTGACCTCGAGCAATCCGCCCACCTTGGCCTACCAGAGTGCTAGGATTACAGACATTAGCCACCACGCCGGGCCTAGACATTTTCTTTATTTTGCATTTCAGGAAACTTTGGCACAGAGAGGTTAAATAATTTGCTTAAAGCCACACAATACTAAGATGTGAAAGAGGGTTTTGGATATAGACAAACAAAATAATGCATACATTTGCCCTTATAAACATAGTTAAGTTGCTCTCCACTCAACCAAAACATATTCAATGAGTACCTATCTCAGTAGTCTGTCAAGAAACAAACCTAAATTCTCTTCATAACCAGTCTTTCTAAAAGGAAAACCTTAATCAAAAGGAACTCATTGGTACAGGGAGTAGGTTTGCATATAAGCAAATAAAAAAAGGAATGTCACAAACAATGCAGTTTAGTAAGCCATATGTTAAAAAGCATTCAAATATAAGTATTGTGATTTCTAATCCAAAAATCTGGGGTTTCTCCTCAGCAATGTGAAAAATTCACCACCATTTAATTTATGTTTAGTCATCTTTGACCACCATCTCCACATTCCAGGAAACAATCCTTTTGCCCCAGGGTAGGTTTCACCACCAATAACTTTCTAATTTACTCAAAAACCTCCATTCATAAAGTTAGAAGTTACAGGACAATTACTGTTGCCAGCCAAAGCATTACTAAATAACTGGTGATGTCAAATGTCCCAAGAGCAAGCATCCTCAGTAAGGTCACACAGAATATACCTTTCCCTCTTCCTACTCTACCCTTATTTTTCCCCATCAGTCACCTTCTAAAAAGCGGCTGGTGTAACTTCCTGGGAGGAAATTTGGCAACCATACCCACTAATTAGGCAGTCACATGTCCTTTAAGGGTAGAATAGGCAGAGGTCAAGTAGAATGCAGAATATTGTCAGGACTCAGGAGCCAAACTAGAAAGTAACTCTAGGGCCAGGACAGAGAGATGGCTGTTAGAGAAAAGCACACGACTGGAGAGAAAAGAAAAGTTTATTAGATTTCACTTAGCATAAAAGATTCTAGTGTATTGGGAAAAGCGAAATGGGCTGGAAGGAGATCCTCGGTCACTAATCAGCCTTGTAATCTTGTCAAGTCTTGTCACTTCACTTACTCCATCTCCATCTACTCACCTCCAAATTACAGGTGAGGAGAGGAGACTGGATTTCTGAGTTCTAACTGTGGTGCTTCACACAGCCCCAACTATCCTTTCTCCCTGCAGAAAATCACCAGCAGCTGCGCTTTCGGAAGCACAGTCATCACGGGGCTTGTCCCTGCAGCACAGGAGCCGGCGGCCACAGCCCCCAGGCAGCCCATCTGCAAGCGCAGATTGTGCCTGGGGTCTCTTTCTTCAGCTGCAGGTCCTCACGTATTACGGGCTCAGGACACAGTCCTCCCTTCCCGCCCGGCAAGCCTGATTCTTCCGCTACAAGTGCCCCTCCCACAAAAAATGGGTCCGAGGACCTGCACGCACTGCTCAGAGCCCTAGCTGCAGCCCAGACGCCCTAACAACAATGTCAGGTGCTTACGCGGAGACCACCTTCCCGTTCAGGACTGCCGCCGGCGCCATGGCCTTTGTTAGTCCGCTGGCCACGATGGACACCACCAAAAGCGAGGTTGCACTCCCTCCGCAGCCGCGCGGGACAACCCAAGCCACGTGTTTAAGGACTGCTCTGCGAGATTATACTACTGCGCCTGCGCACCCCCTGGGCTGGGAGGTGGGAGCGCGGCCAATAAACGCGATCCCCTTAACTAGCGGAGAGCGAAGGGGTAGGGGGACTGCTCCACAGAAGAGAGTAGGGAAGATGAAGAAAACCGGTGATGACTGGCTGGCGGAATGATTGGCTGGTGGAAAGAACCCGTCCAGAGCGCGCCTTTGTACACGACGGAACACCCAGGGGGTGAAGGGGTTGGACCTGACCCGGAACGCGGCCTCGATTCCAGCCAATCACGGAGCCGGGGCGGGGCGGTCTCGCGGGAGGACAGCTTCGCGGGCGCGGGAAGCGCGTCTCTTGAATTTGCTCAGGTGCCCGGGGCATTTTGCAGGGATTGGGAATGCTGGGTTTCCTTGGAGAGTTTTAGCCGGGGTCCCCGCGCGGAAGCGTGGCGGAATGCTGGACTGGACTGTAGATGTTGAACCTGGAGAGTGTGGGGCGGCTTCCGACTTTTTCACACACCGGCGCCGCCAGGCTGGGGCAGGCCCGGTTTTTGAGTCTTGGTGGCGCCCATGACTCTGCTTTTAAAATCTCCTCAGCTGACTGTGGTGTTCAGCCAAGGCTGAAGCGCAGCCCGCTGTCTTAGGCCCCGCTGAGCTGGAAGGGGTGTCAGAGCTGGACCTCTCGTGGCCCCCTTGGTGTCTGGGTCACCCTGGGTTTGCCAGGGCTCAGGAGGGTCGTCAGGTTGGCAAGTCTAGGTATTGTCGGCTCCCGATCAGGAGATATAGGGTTGGAGAAAGGACATGGGCCTTCCAAAAACTAGATGTCAGTTAACCATCAAGGGTGGACACTTATTCCCTCCCCGTAGGCGTCCTCGCTGGGGAAGAAATGAGGTCGGGCGATTGCTTGGGGAGCTTGACGGGACAAAGGTAGCTGGGATGTTGTTGGTGAGGACTGTCGTCGGGCGAGTCACCGAGTCCGGTGGATTTGCTTGCCCTGCTCGAGGACCAGGGCTGTGTTCTTACAGCGCTGGGGTTATATCATCCCTATAGAGTCCTGAAGACGGTGGTTCACGTGACTTAGGACTTGATCAGATATCTGGGTTTCTTTTATAACCCGTGTCTTAGGGTAGCCTGTTTAAACTTATGGCAGAGCTCATCTATTGCACAGATTTTAAATTTGGGGGCTGTTAGTATTTTTTCCTTATTCATAAATTCTGAGGGTATTTTACAGCAGTCCTGTATATGAAATTAGAGAATTTCTTTTTTGTTTCATTAACAGTTTTTTAAGGTATAATGTGTATACCATAAATTCACCTATTTTAATTGTAGGATTCTATGGTTTTTAGCGTATTTACAGAGTTCTGCGACCATCACTTTTGTTTCTGGTAGTTAACTTCTTTACCATTCTTAAAGTTTGCCCAAGTGGACACGTATAGGCACAAACTTAATATATAATATGATATAGTAGTATACTGGTATTATAAGGACCTTAGAACACATACTCTCATATTGTGTGGTACCTGAACAAGGGAAGTTAAAAGGAAAATTGAAGTCAATGATTCTGGTAAGTTGCATGTAGTGAATCTTTTGTGTCTTATAGTACCAAGTAGATATTGTTTCAGCTTTCTTATTTGTTGAGGAAGATGGCATGAACGCCATTTTACAGGTGGAGAAATAGACTTTGAAGGATAACTTGCCCCAAGCTGCGTAGCTGTGATTGGGATTGGCCCCAAACCTGATGCTTCATCTCTAAATCTATTGCCTTTGCCTTCTCAACAGGCTGGTTTTCAGCTATAATATTTATGTGTGAGTTGTACAATTCATTCACTAATGGAGCAAATAATTATTGAGTGGCCACTGTGTGCCAGCAACACTGCTGTATATGCTAGAGGTACCCTAGTGAACCAGCAAAATTTCTGCCCTCAGCTCATATTCTGTTGGGGATCAAGATGATGATCAAGCAAAGAAATATATGCTCTAATTTTAGAGAGGATAGAGAGTGATGGTGGGAGGCAGGGAAATGCTATTTCAAAAATGTAATAAGAGGTTTCTAGGCATCTGACTTGAGCAAAACCTGAATAAAGAGAAAGAAAGCAAGGATTTGATTTCAGCAGCTGGAAAGATGGAATTGCCATTTACTGAGTTGAAATAAGTTAACACTGGAAGGACCAGGTTTTGGGGTTATGATTATGAATTTAGTTTTAGATGTTTATAGATGCCTCGTAGATATCCAACTGGAAAGCTGGCATTTAAATCCATGAGATTGGATGAAATCCTGCCAAGGCTATGAGTGTAGGTAGAAAGAGGACGAAGGACTGATACCTAGAACCCTTCAATATTTAGAATACAGGCAGATAAGAGGAACCAGGAGGGAAGATTGAAAAGGAGATTATAGCGTTTTATGAAGAAAACCCCAAGAGTAGCCTGCCTTAGAATATAAGTGAAGAACATGTTTCATGGATAAAGGGGTAATTCCGTCAGATGTTACAAATTGGTCAGATAATACAAAGATTGAGAATTGACCTTTCCTAGAGAATAGAAAGTTAAAACATTTTTATTTAAATGCTTATAATGGCAGTTGCTAAAATATATATATATATATATCTTTTTGCAGAGGCTCCATTTTTACAATCTTTTTGAGGGATAATTTCATAATATCTATTAAAAATTCAAATGTGTGCTTTCTTAGATCTTGTAATACCACTTCTGGGAATTTATCTTGGAGTAATATTTACACATAAACAAGGATATGTATAAAAGTGTTCATCACAGCATTGATTTAAATAGTAAAAAAAAAAAAAAACCTCTATCAGGGTCGATGAAATTGTTAAGAGACCAGTGGATTTATATGTATGGACATGTAAGATAGCTTTCACACATTGTTAAATGACAAAGTCAGATTATGCAATAAAGTATATATGATTTAAGTTAATATATATGAAAAAAAGCCTTTGACTATACCATGAAAAGGTGCTCATTCATTCACTTCCCCATAACCGTCACATTAACCTATTCACACCACTTATTACTATCTAAAATTGTTTTATTTCTTTATATACTTGTTTACTATCCATCTTTTCCCACCAGTATAAGAGATTTCCAGTCTTGGTCGGGCATGGTGGCTCATGCCTGTAATCCTAGTACTCTGGGAGGCTGAGACAAGAGGAGCACTTGAGGTCAGGAGTTGGAGACCAGCCTGAGCAAGAGCAAGACCCTATCTCTACCAAACATATAAAAAATTAGCCGGGCATAGCTCCTCTAGTCCCAGCTACTCAGGAAGCTTAGGCAGGAGGATCCCTTGAGCCCAGGAGTTTGAGGTTATGGTGAGCTTTGATGACACCACTGCACTCTATTTGGGGCAACAGAATGAGACTGTCTGGAAAAAAAAAAAAAAAAAAAAAGATTTCCTGTCTTGTTCATACTTATGTACCTGATGCTTGGGGGTATAATTTTTAAAATCTTGTTTTAGAGGAAAACGATACTATTTATTATTCTGGTTTAGTTATTATCTATTCTCATTTCTATGAGCATAATTTAATTTCTCTGTGCCTCATTTTTATAAATGAAGACAGTGAACAGTCATTCTCCCTAAATTCACATTAGACTGACTTGTATAGCTTTCAAAAATAATACTTATGTCTAGGCTCTATCCTTGACCAATTAAGTCAGGGTTCAGTATTCTTTGAAGATTAGAGATACCTGAAGGATATTCATAGTGAGTCTGTACCAAGAATACATATCTGGGGCTGGATGTGGTGGTGCACACCTATAATCCTAGTACTCTGGGAGGCTGAGGTGGGAGGATTGCCTGAGGTCAGGAGTTTGAGACCAGCCTGAGCAAGTGTGAGACCCCATCTCTACCAAAATAGAAAAAATTAGCTGGACGTGGTGACACACCCCTGTAGTCCCAGCTACTCAGGAGGCTAAGGCAGGAGGATCGCTTGAGCTCAGGAGTTTGAGGTTGCAGTGAGCTATGATGACACCACTGCACTCTACCCAGGGCAACAGAGCGAGACTCTGTCTCAAAAAAAAGGCATATTTGGGACATATTTTCTCTGCTATAAAAGTATTTCCCTAGAATTAGAATTCCAGTTTTTCACACAAAGCATCTTTAGCTTTAGGAGTAGTAGATGGAATCATCATTTCCCCTTCTCTCAAAATACTTCTCCCTTGATGAGATATATGTATTGGAGGACAAAAATTTGACCTATTCCAAGACTTTCACAAAAGAAAGGCTCAAAATATGATTTTCATATTTGCTGGAGTGTTCAGTTTTGGTAGAATCACTTTCTTAAGATTACTTAAGTTTACTAATGCTTGATGAAAGTCACTTTGTGTTTTTTAGATCATTAATTAGGGAAATAGAGAGCTACAGGTCTCACTGTATCACCTTAGGAGGTTCGTTTTTACTCCTTAGACCTCTGTGATGCGTTCACTTAGCAACAACCTCTTTAATATGCAAACATTCTCTGGCAAATTGCACAGAGCAGCCACTCATACTGGACAATACAGGTCCCTTCTGGGAATTGCCCTTGGATTTAGAATTTTTCTCTTGTGCCTGATATGGTAAAAATGTATGCTTTTGACGTTCTACTAAATGCAGCATAGCATACTATATCTCATGAGTGTGTAAAAAATAGAATAGTCACAGAATAATCATGTCATGGTGCTGTATTTTATTTTGACTTTAGACTCCTAATATAGTACTATCATCATCTATATAAATTAACTTTGTACTAAGTTTTTTTCTTTTTTCCTGCTCGGTTCTTTCATTGTTCAATCTATATTTTCTGTGCCTGGTATGGAATGATAAAGATAAAAGAGAAATAGAGCCTGCTTTTAGGTACTTTTAATGTAGTAAAGAACTTGAAAATTGTAAATAATATAATATTTAATAGGGTAACAGTCAAAAGAAAAGTATAGAATATATGAAAGTTAGGAGGAGAGATTACCCTCACCTTTCAGGAATCAAGGAAATCTCCCTGGAGGTGGTATTTGAACTGATACTGAAGGATTTATATGTTCATCCTTCTGGGGATATATTTTGGCCCAAACAGTAGCTTGTTTCTTAAAGACAATATGAAACTCATTAAATAAAGTTATTTTTAATAGAGCACAAATTCATAAAATGGTAAGGAAATAAAAGTAAAAGATGAGATTCTCAAGAATTGTGTCTCCAGTATCATTCTCATTCTAGGACTAAGGACTGGTTTATTTTCCCTTTTTATTCACCAAAACTCAAGTTATTTGATTTTTTTTCTTTGGTTCTTAGAAAAGGAACTGACACAGTAATGATTTTAGTTATCAAATAATGAAAATGAGGAAAAGACTAGCCTCAGTAGAGATATTTATACTTTAATACTTGCCTTTAATATAATACATCTAGAATGAATTAATAGAGCAATTTCTTTCTTTCGTCTTTCTTTCTTTCTTTCTTTCTTTCTTTCTTTCTTTCTTTCTTTCTTTCTTTCTTTCTTTCTCTCTTTCCCTTCTTAATTTGCCTTCTTTCTTTCTTTTTATTTTGAGCCCCCCCACAGCAGCATAATAGAGGAATTTCAAAACAGATTTCAGGGTTTGTAAAAAAAGACAGGCCTTTATGCTTTCTATTCCACATTCCTCAAATCACATAATCCTAATTTTTTTCTCCTCTTATGAAAATTCCTCTCATTCTGGGACTGCTCAATTTTCTAGGAGTCACTACCCAGCAAAAGAAACATATCCAGTCACATACAGCCCCTCCATTGCACAGTTTCTAAATGCCACTTTTTTTTTTTCAGAATACATTCTCTGTCTTAAAAAAAGTAATCCCTATTCTATTGCTTTATGAAACATGGACATTACTTTCTGCATTCCTTTTCATTTCACTTTAGAAAAGAAAGATAATATATAGAATTGAACTAAGTCAGGAAAATGGATTTAAGGCAGTAGTGAAATTCTTGAGAAGTTGAATTTATAAAAATTATAATGTGAGGTTACATTTTATGTTACTCTGGGGGTAGAAAGGACTATGAGTTATCACATACTGCTTTATTAACTAATGTTTGACTTTTTATCTTTTGGCTGAATCTTGAGAGATATAGTTAGCATTTCTGATAGATGAAGAAATTGAGGCCTGGCAAGGCATGGCAGCTCACGCCTGTAATCCTAGCACTCTGGGAGGCTGAGGCAGGAGGATCGCTTAAGGTCAGGAGTTCAAGACCAGCCTGAGCAAGAATGAGACCCCGTCTCTACTATAAATAGAAAGAAATTAATTGGCCAACTAAAAATAGATAGAAAAACTTAGCTGGGCATGGTGGTGCATGTCTGTAGTCCCAGCTACTCTGGAGGCTAAGGCAGAACAATAGCTTGAGCCCAGGAGTTTGAGGTTGCTGTGAGCAAGGCTGACTCCACGGCACTCTAGCCCACGCAACAGAGTGAGACTCTGTCTCAAGAAAAAAAAAAGAAATTGAGGCCGCCACAGTGGGTCACGCCTGTAATCCTAGCACTCTGGGAGGCCAAGGTTGGAGGATTGCTCAAGGTCAGTAGTTTGGAACCAGCCTGAGCAAGAGTGAGACCCCGTCTCTA